AATTACACAAATTTGAGTCAGTCAGGACATAGTCCATTGACATTACTTCAGATCCGTTAAGAGCATGACTTGTCATCTTTTAACAGTGAATTATGCGTGCTATAGAAAAAGCATAGTTAGAATTCGTCATAACTCCATTCCCTTATAGAACTGGAGGCAGGGGAGGGGTTTGTTTTGGATTCATATCAGGGAACAGCTATACTTCATGCAATTTTTTCCTATCACGTTATTTAAAAAGATAATTTTGTTACTTCTATTTTTTAGAAGTTTTTCATTTACTTAAATCCTATCAAAGATCATTTTATGCAAGAGGTTGATGGACTAGACAAAGTCGAATCCTTCAAAATGCTCATGGTACAGTGCTTTTTTTTTCAAATTAGCTCTGGAAATTTTTATTTGTAACAAACGACAATGACCCGCTGAGTTCTAATAAGAGAAAATTCATGAACGGGCTTGAAGACCTTAATTGAGGCAGTGATATCAATGATTAGGTGTAATACGTACATTTTTTTTCGAATTACACCTTCAACACCTTCAGAAGTTATGAAAATCTTGGGATTTTCCAAAAAATACGTCAATTCTGAAGATTATCAATTAAGGTAACGTATTGCAGGACTTATCGCTGGCTAGTGGTCGAGATACTCCTGTAGAGTTAGCTTTGCTGGCAAGCAAAGCAAAGGTGAGTTACAATTAATCAGATTGGTTGAGTCTTACAGATGTGGTGCATTTGAATCGAAACGGCCGCTTAGCGGCAAGAGCAACATCGCGCGCGAAAAAGTGAATCAGAATGAAGCAAAGGGAGAGCAGAGAATAGGAAATTCGAGAACAAAATAAGTAAAAGTAAAATCGTGCCAAAAATAATAGTAGCATATAAATCGAGCTGTATGAAGAAAGTTAGAATTGCAGTAAAGAGGCAACTCGTTCACGACTGCCGCGTGCGGCGAATCGATTATACAAAACCGACTCGACTGATTCGTCTCCCAGGTCTGGCGCCTGTCCCTGTTCTGCTGGGACTTCTGACTTTTCCACTTTTCTTAGAAGTTAACACAAAAAAACAGACGTAAAAAATATTTTACGTAATTTTATGAACTTCAACGGCGGTCTGGAAGCATAAGATAATCGTCGATGACTAAAACCTTAGTGTGCGCCATGCACTTGGTTCCTACTGAGATTTACACAATGGTTTGATTATGCATTCATGATACTCAGTGACTTGAGTAGGCAACTTTTTTAGTTTGTTATTATAAGAGTACAGATTCATGGGCGGAATGCTCCGCTTTGGACCGGTTCTGAGGAGGAGTAGGAGGTGCTGGGCTTTGGCAGAAACCGCTTAGGACAGGAGATAACGCCCCTGCCCATTGATCCACCTCAGAGTAGAGTAAAACGATACAATCTTCTAATGGTAAGGCCAGTCGCAATGCACTTTTATGATAAAATTCGAATCGAAATTAGGAAAAGATCGTTAGAAAATTTTTTCTTTCCCCTTATTGCGAGTTTTCAGAGTCCGAGTGACGATACAACGGGAACGGTGAAATTGGGTGAAATCCTATTCCTTGCTTCATACTCTCATGATCGATTGAACGTGATCGTCTCAAAGATTAGGAATCTTTCAAATGTCTACAAAAGCGAGTTTTATTACAAGTAATCGATTTCAAAATATAAATACTACTTCATTTCGTCGGATATTTTCTATTTTTCTTTAGGTATTTTCGTACGGTTATACTTAGTACAACAGATGGGACAGGTCATTAAGAAGAAGACCTCGGAACGGACGTTGGTGGATGGTGCTGCTGACATTGGTGAAAGCATGTTCTTCAATGTGTCCAGGAGTAGATTAATGGTAAGTTT